ACTGTGTTTAGCTTTTGGAAGTGACAGGGAGATACCTATTGATACTTATTTGTTTCTATTTTTGTTTTTGTTGGTTGTCTCAGGTTAGTTGGTTTGATACCACAAGTATTTATTAATACCTATTATTTCCAGAAACAGTTAATATTAGACATTGTCCTGTTGAACAATAGTTAAAACATTTATTTGTCTTTCTTTTAACTATGAGGAATCTGTTAAAAACTATTTAGTAGTTTTTGTGTGGAGTCTTTCAAGTTTTCTATGTACAATATCATGTCATCTGCAAGTAACTTTACTTTCTCCTTTACAATTTGGATGCTTTTTATCTCTTGTTGTCTGATCACTGTAGCTAGGACTTCCAGCACATTGTTGACATTCCTGCCTTGTTCCTAATTTTAAGTGAAAGGTCTTTTGACTATTGAGTATGATGTTGGCTGTAGGTTTATCATATATAGCCTTAATTATATTGAGGTATGATCCCTCTATTATCACTTTGCTGAGAGTTTTTATCATGAATGGGTGCTGGATATTATAGAACCTTTTTTCCTGCATCCATTGATATGATCATGTGATTTTTATCCTTCATTTTGTTTTTGTGCTGCATCACACTTGGTCATGTTTTATGATCTTTTAAATGTGTTGATGGATTTGATTTGCTAATATTTTGTTGAGAATTTCAGCATTTATGTTCATCAGGGATATTGGCCTATAATTTTCTTTCTTTGTCATGTCTACATCTGGTTTTGGAATTAGGGTAATGCTGGCCTTGTAAAAAGAATTTTAAAGTCTTTCTTCATTTTGAAATTTTTGAAATAGTTTGAGGAGGAAAGGTGCTATTTCATCTTTGGGTGTTTGATAAAATTCACCTGTGAAGCTACTTGGTCTAGGACTTTTGTTTGGTGGGAGCTTTTTGATCACTGCTTCCATTTCATTTGTTGTTATTGGTCTGTTCAGGTTTTCTGATTCTCCTGATTCAGTTTTGGAAGGTTGTATATTTCTAGGAATTTGTCCATTATGCCCAGGTTGTCTAGTTTCTTGGCATATAATTGTTCATAGTATTTTCTTATAATCCTTTATTTTTTCTGTGATGTCAGTGTTACTTCATCTCTTTTGTTTCTGATTTTATTTATTTGGGTCCTGTCTCTGTTTCTTGATGGACTCATTAGCTAATGAATCTAGCTAAAGGTTCATTAGTCTGTTTTTTTGTTTCATAGAACCAGCACTTGGCTTCATTGATCTGTTGCATTATTATTATTATTATTATTATTATTATTAGTCTCTATGTTATTTGTTTCTGCTCTCATCTTTATTATTCCCTTCCTTCTACATACTATGAGCTTTTGTTGTTGTTATTTTTCTAGTTCTTTTAGGTGAGATTTTTCTTGCTTCTTGTGTCAGACATGAAATACCATGAACTCTCCTCTCAGGACTGCTTTTGCTGTGTCCAATAGATTTTCATTTGTTTCCAGGTAAATTTTTATTTCTTCCTTTTTCTCATTTTTAATCCATTATTGCTTAACTAGAGGCCCAATGTATAAATTCTTGCAAGGCCCAAATTCATGCAAGGACCTTGGCTCTGACCCCTGCTTGCTACCTCAGGCAGGGGCCTCTGTCGTCTCTGCCATGCTCCCCATCTGCTCTGGTTTTGTCTGGAAGGAAGGATGTTTGGAAGGACATCCGTTCTAACTAGCATATCACACTTTCATTATTATAGGTAACATGCTAGATAGCCTCCATGCGTTTGAATGTTTTGAGTTTTTTATTTTATTTATTTACTTATTTAATTCTTTATTGTCGAAAGTATTACATATGTGTCATTTTCCTGTAATTGACCTCAGCCAACTTGCTCCCACCCCTCTCCAGTTGAGTTTTTAAATTGTAGTTGATTTCTAATTTCATGCCATTGTGATCCAAGAAGATGCTTGATATGATTTGTATTCTTGAATTCATAGGGACTTATTTTGTATCCCAACATGTGCACCTTTGAAAATGTTCCATGTGCACTTGAGAAGAATGTATATTCTGCTGCTTTCAGATGAAATGTTTTGTAAATATCTATTAAATCCATCTGATCTAGTATATCATTTAAGGTCTAGAAGATCTATCCAGTGATGTCAGTGGAATTGTAAAGTCCCTTATTATGACTATTGTTGTTGATCTCTCCCTTAAAGCACACCAATAATTTAAAAAATATATATATTTAGGTGCTCCTATATTGGTTGCATATACATTTCCCAGGGTTCTATCTTCTTGTTGGATTGATCCTTTAGTATTATATACTGTCCTTAGTCTCTTTTATGGCCTTTGTCTTGAAGTCTGTTTTGTCAGATATAAGTATTGCTACCCCATTTTTTTTTTCATTTCCATTTGCATGGAATATTTTTTCCCATCCCTTCACTTTTTTTTTTGTGGCAAATTGATTCTTTTTTAACTGATTCAATTTGGTACTAATTTAGAAAGAGGCCAAGTAACACTCTAATGACTCATGTGAAATTGCCTGTAATTTATAAAAAGATAGCTTTTAATTTAAAAGTAATGTTCAAAGTAATATTTGGTATAAGTGGTAACTGGTTTGCCAATTTGACATAATCTTATCTTGATTTTTGTTTGTATTATAAAGTCTCTTCTGGGCTAATTTCTGTAGTAACTTTTTATCGGAACATGAGATTCTTCTAATGTGCAATTAAAGTCTTTGCATTATTGGCAATATATTTTATAGAGAAACTTAGGGGTAAAAATCAGCTCATTTTATTTTGTAGTAAAATCAGAAATAGGGAAAATATGCTAACATGATAATATCTAATGAGGGAAATGTTCCATGCAGATGTCTGTTTTTCTATTAATCCCTAAAATGATTGTATGCTTTTATTTATATGAGTAACATAAGATACAAATATGTTATTAGGGATATATCCACTTCTAAAAAAGTTAAACACCATATGAATTTAGAATTTTAACAAATTGTTTTAAAAGTGATTTAAATCTTTAGATAATGTAAGATTTGAGATTTCAACAAAGATATAATATCTATGTATGCTCCTTCTGAGAATTATTTAGATATTTTTTTCTTGTTCATCTGCATTTATTACAGCTTTTAACATAAGGGAATGAGAACTGGGTGTTGAATGATGAATCTTTTATGGGTACAGAGAAATATTTTCCTTAGTTATCTTTGAAGTCTCCATCTAGGCACACTGGTAATTTTATTTTTATTATAGTATGTAGATAATAGGGTCATATGTTCTCAAGCTATCAGAGAGGGCATGCTAAAGGAAAAGAGAAAACATATTTTTTGTTTTTGCTGTTGTCATTAGGAATTTTCATATTTTCTTTGTACATTGGGCACCTTTTCATGTTTATTGTACTATGCTGATAGTAATGTCAGATTTCATTAAGCCAACACCAAGTTAGTGAACATGAAAAGCAGAATATTTTGCTATTAGTATTGTTCTAGATTTTTGTCCTTTAAGTACTTATTTTTTATGGGTTATAATTTATTTTACAATGTGAATTCTTTAGGAAGATGCACTAGTATTTTGTTTTAAGCTACATTAGGCTGCTAACATAAATTTGGACCTATCCCTTCATTATTAGTAAATATGTTGCAGAACTAATACAAATGATTACTAGCAGTTCTTACATTCTGTACTTTCCCATTTTATACTGCATACTAGAGGCCCATTGCATATTTGTGCAAGAATAGGCCTTCCTTCCACTGGCTTCCCTTCCACCTTCCTGGGATCCTTGCTTTTGTCCAGAGCACTGCCCCTGTAGCTCCGTCCTCCCACCTCCCCCTCATAGCAGGCGTCCGGCCCCTCTCGATGGCTCTGTGCCTGCATATGCAAGTTAACCCACCATCTTTGTTGGGTTAATTTGCATACTCACTTTGATTGGTGTGGGCATAGCAGAGGTATGGTCAGTTTACATGTTTATCTATTACTAGGTAAGATATGTCAGTGAATTCAACAGCTTTGGTGAGGGGTGGAGAGAGACATATCTATCTATATATATAAAAGGCTAAGTGACTGGCCATCTGATGGTAGCTATGACACACAATGACCACCAGGGGGCAGATGCTCAAAGCACAAGGTGCCAAGCTCTGGTGACTTGGCAGCAGCAATTCTCGGGGGTGATGACCCTGGAACCAGAGAGGAGGGAGCCTGATTCCAGGGTGTGTCACCTGAGAACTGCCCTCTCACAATCCAGGACTTCTTGGGGAATGTCAGAGAGCCAGTTTCAGTCCAATCCCCAGAGGCCAGGCTGAGGGACCTCACCTGCTGGAGGGACCCTGTTCACTCTGCCAACTCCCTTTGAGCCATGGCACCACCCCAGGTGCAGCTGGCCTGGGAAGGACTGCGGGAGTTTGGCTCTAGGGTGTGTCCAGCCCTTCTCGCCCAGTCCTGCCCCACCAGCCACCTTCTAAATAATTAATTTCTTTTCAATGTGAACGAATCCATACACAGGCGCATGTGCGAGCACGTGTGTGCGCACACACACACACACACACACACACACATTGTTTCAGCCTTTTACATGGGTATTAGCATCCTTCAGTTTTAGAATTAAGAAAAATTAATAATTAAGTCGCACTGCTAGTTATACACATTTTACACTAACCCTATCAGACTTCGTAGTACTCTAGACTTGAATGTACAATGAGAAAGACAGGGAATGTGGGTATGGGAAATTGGAAAGATGAAACATGGAAAGACATGGAGAAGATTAATACTCTTGGTTTTTGATATTTAATTTATAGAATTAACTTACTTTTGTCTTAAGTCTTGAGCTTATGGTTATAATTGGAATTAATTTAAGTATAGTTACCAATATAATGGAATAAATTATTTAAGACTGGGTACTTTGTTAGTTATTGAATATATTGATTAGCTCTAAATAGGTCATCATGTAGTTTATAAATCTTAATGCCTTATCACTTGTACATATGCCTGATATTTAAAAAATTAAACCTTTGTTTTTTGTTTTGATTTTTCTTTGTTCCTTAGGATTAATGGGAAAAACATGAACTTCACAATAAATTTTTCCTAAAATGTTGATTTACAATTTACTTTCTCAAGATTCATTTTGAATTATGGAAATCATCTTCTACTGTAACCTCCTACAGAAGGATTTAAAAATGAGTAAGTCAACCTTCTGAATTTTCAGAGGTACTTGATTGAAATTAATAGATATTATTATGTTGGTTGCTGCTAATGTATTAGGAATTATTATTCAAAGAGTCCACTTAAACACCAAGCTCAGTGTCATTTAGTGTGCGGTGGGGTGAGGCATATATACACAATTATTTATAAGCCTTACGGAACTGCTTGCCAGTTTTCATTTATTTTGGTAAGCACCAGGATCAACTTAATTTAAAAAAAAAGATAATGCCAGGTTTAGATTTTGCCAAATATGTTAGTGGATGTGGCATAGATTTTTGTAATGGAATGTCAGATAGAAGTCAAACATGTTGTCTGTTGTATAACACTACCTATAGTTAATATATTATTATGCACAAAATATGTTAAGAGGGTAGATCTCATGTTACGTGTTCTTACTACAGAGCAAAATCAAAACCACAGAAGAATATAAAACTTTTTTTGGAGATGATATATTTATAGTAGCTTGATCCTGGTGATAGTGTCATGGGTATATACATCTGTTCAAACTCACCAAATATATATATTAAATATGTGTAAATAAAAATATTAATTATATCCCAGAAAAACTAAAAAAGATGTTGGTTATATTTTAAAGATATATCCTGGAGAAAGAATAAAATAAAATTAAGCAGATGAAATCCCAAAACATTCAGAATTCATTTTTTCTTTAAATTTTCAATTATAGTTGACATTTAATATTTATATTAGTTTCAGGTGTACAGCATAGTAGTTGAAAGGGTGAAGGGATTAAGAAGTACAAGTTGGTAGTTATAAAATAATCAAATAGTCAATAATATTGTAATAACTATATGGTGCCAGGCCAGTACTAGATTTTGCATTTAGAATTCTTGATGTAGCAGGTGAAAGGGAATGGCTTCATGATTCTTTGCTTCAGCCTGTTGTCTTCATGATGAGTACTTGATACTGATGATGACGATGTTGGTGTTATCTTTGGCATTTAAACCTCACCCAATGATATATTTTTAAGTTGATTTTATTTATGATTATTATTTTAAAATATATTTTTATTGATTTCAGTGAGGAAGGGAAAGGGAGAGAGATAGAAACATTAATGATGAGAATCATTGATTAGCAGTCTTCTGTATGCCCCCCACTGGACACTGAGCCTGCAACCTGAGCATGTGCTCTTACCTGGCATTGAACCCAGACCCTTCAGTCCGCAGGCCAACGCTTTATCCACTGAGCCTAATCAGCTAGTGCTACATTGATTTTAGAGAGAGAGGTAAGGTGAGAGAGAGAAACATCGATCAGTTGCCTCCTGTATGCTCCCCGACCAGGACAAATCCATAACCTAGGTATGTGCCCTGACCAGGTATTGAACCCACAACCTTTTGGTGAATAGGATGATGCTCCAACTACCTGAGTTACCTGGTCAGGGCAGAATATCAAATATACACTTAACAGTTTCTCATTAGAGAGCTTTTCTTTTATTGAGACTGCTGATTGACAGGGGGAAAAATCCTCTTTAAGGGCAATATACAAGTGAAAAACAATTTAGGGCAGAGGAAGAAAAAGAGAAGGAGGAAAAAAGGTGGCAAAAGTGGGTAGATACTGAGAGAGGAAATATGAAGAGAAAGAAAATGAGGAGAGACAGAGGGTGGGATACAAAATAAGATAATTTTCTCCATTCTGCTCAGGCCTTCTTACTCCTATTCCACTGTCAGTAGCATTTGCTGAAAGCTTTTCTAGAATATTCAAATCTTCCCACTTAGTTAATTCAAACAGATTCACTGTCAATGATAATTCATTGTCACTTTATCACTTTTTTTTAAAGCCCTTACCCAAGGGTTGATTTTAGGGAGAGAGGAAGGGAGAGAGAGAGAGAGAGAGAGAGAGAGAGAGAGAGAGAGAGAGAGAGAGAGAGAGAGAGAGAGAGAGAGAGAGAGAGAGAGAGAAAGGGAGGGGGAGGGAGGGAGGGAGGGAGGGAGAGAGAGAGAGAGAGAGAGAGAGAGAGAGAGAGAGAGAGAGAGAGAGAAACATTGATGTGAGAGACATTGATTGGTTGCCTCCTGTGTGTATCCCTATATCAGGGATCAAACCCACAACCTAGGTATGTGCCCAAATTGGGAATTGAATCTGCAACCTTTTTAGTGTATGGAACAATGCTCCAACTAACTGAACCGCCCAGCTAGGGCTCTGTGTCACTTTACACCAGGCAATGTTCCAGGCTCTGGAGATATAATATAGTCAGTGAGATGAAGTCTCAATCCTCATGGATCTTACATTGCAACAGATGAATAAATGTATATTTGATTTGTTATGGGGGGAAAAGCAGATGAAGCTGATAGAAAATAACAGAGTATGTTACTTTAGAAAGGGTAGTCAAGGAAGTTTTCTCGACAGAGGTGATATTTTACTAGGAATCTGAACGAAGGGTGGGGAACAAATATGTCAGTTTCCGGGCAGTGTGTGCCTGGCGGGAAGATGAGTTAGTGTAAAGGCATATGCTTGATGTGTTCAAGGATCAGCAAGAAGCACAGTGGATGGAGGGGAGAGTGGTAGGAAATGAGGGTAAGACTAATAGACCACAATGAAGTAATAGGATTTTATTCTAAATGTCATCACACTTAGAGACCGGAGAGCGGAGAGGCAATATGGACTCATTTCACTCAAGAAATACTTTCTTATATAAAAGCAGAGCTGCAGCTGAAACCGGTTTGGCTCAGTGGATAGAGCGTCAGCCTGCAGTCTGAAGTGTCCCAGGTTCGATTCCGGTCAAAGGCATGTACCTTGGTTGCGGGCACATCCCCAGTAGGGGACATGCAAGGGGCAGCTGATTGATGACTCTCTCATAGATGTTTCTAACTCTCTATGTCTCTCCCTTCCTCTCTGTAAAAAAATCAATAAAATATATTTAAAAATAAATAAATAAAAGCAGAACTGCAAAGTATCAGGAGAAGGCTTAGGTACTTACCCAGTTGCATTTATTAATATAAAGAGTGTAGCAGGAATGGGACGTGGTTGTTCAAGGACAGCTTGCACTATTGTACCTTTGGAAGAGTACACAGTACCGTGATGGGATAGGTGATTGTTTTCCTAGAAAGATTTAATTGATTAACTCTTTCAGAGGTGATTAGAAGTGAAGTCAGTGGTGGCTAACCAGCAAATATTTTTGTATAAGACCCTGTGTAGATGCTTTAAAAAAATGTTAGTTTGTGCAGGTATTTGTCCCCATTTTACAGAGAAGAAAACTGAACCTCAGAGGTCCTATTCTGCTATAGCTGCTGGAAACACTTGGCTAATTATCAGAATACTCACACTAAAGTAGGCACTTTGACTGAATTATTGGGGTAATTGCAATAGTGTAGATCTAGGTATTAATCATGATTAACTAGGCAATTAAATATCTAAGAATATACTAAAGGGGTAATTGAAAAGACGTCTTTTATTTTAAAACACACACTTTCTAATTATTTTCTGGAAATTAAAGGACTACATGGTCATTTTTAAAAATGAGAAAATATAATTTTATACACATACACACACACACACACACACATTGTGACAACTTCTGCTTCTTCCTTGTTAATGCCTCAAACCTGTACTTTTTCTGATATAAGCCAATAAATTCTGGTTGTATTATTATTGTATTTATTTAAATAGTTGAAGAGTGAATGAGTTTTAATCACTTTGTCCATGAAAACCAGTTTGGAAAACTTGGTGAATGTGTTTGATAGCTGAGTTTATCTAGTAAAATTGTTACAGAGGTCATCTGAAGTTCTGTAGTCCAAGTAGTAGTGATTCAGAGTCTTATGCTCTTGTGGCCTATCTGCAGAGCATATTATCAAATTCAATATTTATTTGGTATAATACATCTAAAGAAAGTAAATGAAACAAAAATGTTTCCCCATCCCTTGATAACCTCCTTGCCTACAGCATACTATGGAAATGTATCTCAGTCTACAAGGTCAGATGTTCAAAGTATGCTTTTTGTAATTGTTTTATAACTCAGTTTCTATTTTTGAACTCATATTCTGCACAGATGGCTGAAATTGTAATGTTAGTGAGGGATTGCTTACCTTTTCCTAGTGCTCTGTTAATTCTTGGGTAGAGGTGATGGGTCCTACTAGACATCACCATCTTTCCACACTGGTGGCATCTGTTGAAATATTCATCCTTCATTTTGTTTCTGAAGTTAGAGTTGGTCATCACCCATTGCTGCTGACTTAGCCTACATTCTCATCCACAAGGTTTTAGCTGGCAGAGCAATTCTTTTTGCAATTGATTAGAGTGTGATCTTTCTTTGGTCCCCAAACTCTATTAAGACCATGGAGAATTTTCTGAGAGTGCTACTTGTCTAAGTCTCTTTGCGGCTGGATGGGGCCTGGGGAATGGAATGAGGCTAATAACCTTGTTTGCCTCACAATATCCACCCAGTTCTGTGTGATCTTCCTGCCTCCTGTGTCTAGGACATGGGATGTAGATTGCCTCTGTCTTTTGTAAAAACAGTCTAGCCATTGTTCCTTTGATTCTTCTTTTCCTTCTTCCAGGGAATTTTCTTCAAGTCTGGGAGATGAGAAAATCTTTTTTTTTTTTTTTTTTTTTTTTTTAAGATGTTTTAAATCTGTGTTCTATGCCAGATGCTGTAAATCCATAGGCTGAATTTGACCCATGGAAGTGCTTTTTGCTTGGGAAGTATTTCAAAAATTGGGAAAATTCACATAAAAAGCTTTATTTCTAGATTTCTCTTTTAAAGGAATAAGTATCACTCAAAGAACTTCTAATTCTGTTACCTCATTTTTATATGTTTTTATTGATTTCAGAGAGAGGAAGGGAGAAAGAGAGATGATAGAAACATCAGTGATGACAGAGAATCATTGACCGGCTGCCTCCTGCACGCCCCCCACTGGGGATCGAGCCTGCAACCCAGGCATGTGCCCTGACCAGAACTGAATGGTGACTTCCTGGTTTATGAGTCTGAGCTCAACCCTGAGCCCGATAGGCTGGACAGATTTCTT